ATTGCATTCGATAAGATTAGAAAATTTATAGATACTATGCCTAAACGTGTGAAAGAAGTAATTAAAAAAAAGGGTTACGCAACACGTTGGTAGTTTATTTTTTTAGGTATTAAAAATAAAATATATTACGTAGTAATTTTTTGTGTTGTAAAAATCGTCCTAATGCAGTGTCACCCGTCTGTACTGTACTTATAGTATATATGATTAAAAAATAAAAGCCAACAGATCATAGGCGCGATTCAGAACTCAGCACTTCGTCAGTAGTTGGAAAGATAGAAAAGCAACTTAATATCCAATCTCAGGAAATTATTGATGAAGAAATGCCGGATGCAAGTAATGAGGAGATATAGATAATAGTGAAGCTAATGCCAAGGTACATAATTCAAAGGGGAAAGTACCAATATAGCTGAGGGATCCAGTAAAAGATCTATCAAAGTTGACACTGAAGATAAATCCCCCAGTAAGAAAGCTAAAACCAAGAAAGACAAATCTTCAATATTAAAAAAACTTATGAAATATTTAACCACCGATGTGCCTACCAAAGTCGACGAAAATTTGAAAACCACTAATACGAACGCCATCCCCTTTTTACAACTCTCTAATAATATTGACCTAGCTGAAATAAAAAATGAAGATGTGACTCGAAATGTTATCACTAAATATTTGAATTTCGGCGAAACTTTATACAAACGATACAAGGAGTTAAAACCATGGAAAAATAAAAGCCATCGCTATGCTTAGAGTCGAGATCAGAAAAGAAATTTCTGAATCGAAACTTAGTGATGAGGCTTTACGAAAGAGAAGGGAAAGAGCCGAGAAGGTATGTAAGCTTTTTATGGGTATTGGAGGTAAAACAAAAATATCACAGATTCGATCTATTCCATCAAGGTCTATTTTTAATCTATCTCTAGATAATATTGATCAAGTGATTGTCGGGGTTTTAAATGTAAAATGATTGTTTCGCAAATATACTGTATCCATGTTTTTTATTGCAAAGAAATGGGCTAGGCCCTACATATCAATAAAAAAACATTTACTGATCCCTTGTGACTGCCACGTCGTTGAAAACCAAATATTGATGTTTTGCTATATGTAATAAAACCATACTATTTTTTAATGAAACGTACAAAGTGAAAATCATGAATAGCATGTATATAATAGTTAATTCCCAAAAAACCATTTATCTTCTTTTGTAATTAGAAGATAAATTTCTTCTGGTTTAAAGTCAATATATTGAGAAAATTCTTTACGTAATTCAATCATTTTATATATTACTAGATATAGACCCGTCGTTAAACGACAGGTTATTGTTATATTAATAATTTATCGATGGATATGTTACGTAATATGTTAGCCGATTTGTAGTGTTAGAAAAAGGGAATGATATATGTTATCGATCAAAAGTATATATAATTAACGTTAACATTAATATTATTAATGACGATATTTTTTTTATAAATTATAGCATTAGGTTATTGCTGAAGTATTTCAGAATAGACAACATTTTTAGTACACTGTGAAAATTCCTGTTGGGATTGTCCAAGAAAGATGCGCAGTCTTTGTCTTGATACTACTCTTGAACATGCGACATATAACTGTCCATGTGAAAATACAGAAGTTACGATATATAGTCCAAGCCACTTTATTGTTTGCCCTTGAGCCTTGTGAATAGTCATCACAAAAGCAAGTTGACATGGAAACTGGTGACGTTTCAGAATAAATGGCATTGATGTAGTTGTAGGAGATAATAAAATGCGAGGCAAAAATACTCTTTTTTTAGCTAGAGGTCCGCTAATGGGTTCTGCCTCAATAACATGTTGTTGAAGTGCTCTAACAATCAATCGAGTCCTGTTGCATAGACCATCAGCTATATTAATATTGCGAAGTAAGATAATAGGAACGTCAACTTTGAGTATCAATTTATGAGGTGGTAATCCACTAAACTTCAATGAATTTAAAAACTCGACTGGATAAAGACTCTCCTGAGCAGGATTATATGTTTCCGTGTTCTGATCTAATGCATCTGCACTGTAATATATTGTTTCTTCTCCAGGAAATTGGGCAAGTACTTCTGTATTCAATGTGTCAACTTCATTATTCCGTGGAGCAAGAATTCCTCTCTCAATTAAATACGTTGCATCCTGAGATCATGTTGGAAGTTCTGGATATACAAAGTTGATTAATTCTTGGAGTGTGTTATTTTTAAGTACGATATCTGATGGTAAGGAAATATAGCCGCTATCATGTGTAATTTCAGGAATACGTCCTTCACCAATCTTTAATAGCCATTCAACAAACTCCTTATGAATATCTGCATCTAATGTATCAACTATTTGCTGCAAACACATTGTAAAAAGACCCTTTTTTGTCTGTCTTTTTACTATTAAATTTGGAAAGACAAATATTTAATTGTCTTTTAAAATCTTATACTAAAGATG